AGAGGCACTAGAATCCAGATAATTTTATATTCATTTTTAAGGGTTACTTCATCTCTCCAAATCTGAGTTTGAAATGATGAGCTGGGAAATAAGAATTTTCTTTCACCAGGGTTTGGTACCTTTCCCTGCAGGATGATATTGTTTGGTCTAAATTTCTAGAGATGTGGCCATCCCAGTCCCTTTTGGTGGGAGGACAGATTGAATGGACATGTTCCAGGAGTCTAAAAAAATGGTGGCAAATCCCTGTAGTCAAGGTGTCACTAGAGCTTATGGGGAGTGTCCTCACCTGAGCATCAACCTGCTTGCATGCATCAGCTCCGGGGCAGAAATGCCTGGGACTTGAGGACCCCAGGGAACCAGAACAAAGGAAGCAGAAGTTTATGAGTAGAGAAGAGCAGATGGTAAGAAGGGGGAAAAGAAGGAGAGAGAGAGAGAGAGAGAGAGAGAGAGAGAGAGAGAGCGAGCGAGCGCTGGGCAGAGCTGAGGCGAAGGTCACCTTGTTCTCTGCTTTCCCAGAATTGAGGGGTGGGAGAAATTTTGTCGCAACAAAGCTTCCTTGGTTCTCTGTGTCCGTCCCTTCGGTGGCCTGTATCTATTGTCTCTTTGTTTCTGCTTCCTCATTACCCCACCATATTTTACCTTATCTGATTCAAAATTGGTGAGAGAAGTTCGACAAGAGTCACTGACCTCCCAGCGTTCCCAGAAATGGCTGTCCTGCAGCAAGGCTGCGATGCGTCAGGACCAAGGACAGCGCAAGTACCCCCCACCAAGGCGGCTCCCTCCGTTCCACGCCACGCCCTCCTGCCCCGCCCCTCAGGCATCAAATACCAGCAAGACCTCAGAGAGGTGGGTTTGTCCCAGATAAAACTGCCCAGGGTGCTATATCATTTCCTGTGTAACCTCTGCAAAACTCAAAATGTGCAGGACAGTGAGTTTCCCAGTCCTGGACTAGAGTCTGGATTCTGCAGACTCTATTAGAGAAGGACAATGGAGAAACCAGCAAAAAGTTATGTCAGATTTTGCTGAGTGTCACGTGAGACTTCTGCCAAAAGAAGTGGTCAGAATAGTCAAATGGTAATATATAAAAAGAAAGACTTTTTCTGCCTTCCCTTTGGTTGCTATTAGAAAGTGGTATTTATTGTACTTTGGGCCAATTATGTTACTTTATTAGAATGGCTTCGTAAAAAACGAGTATATAAGCTTCCCTAAATTAAAAATGTCTACTATATTTAAGTTTAAACTGTCTTTTTTTTTTAAAACAAGGTACTATAGGTTCATCTTGAAATTTATAATCTAAAAATAGGATCTCATCAAAATACTCTAACTATTCTACTCTGGGCATTGATATACTATGTATTTACTATTTATGGCTCTCCAGATATGGTAAATGCTATACCAAAAAAAAAAAAAAAAAAAGCATTCAACTTTATTGATAAGAACAATTTCCTGTGAAAAGTAAATCATGTGGAAAAATATGAGCTAAGAGTTTGTTGGAAAAGTAACTCAGCTTGATGTTTCTGAGGGAAGAGACATCACAAAAATCAGTAGTGGAATGGAAGATATATACAGGTTTAAAGAGAATCACAGAAATAAAAAGGAAATAATAGTTATAGACTTGCAAGTCCTTTTGTTGACAAAAACCAAGACCAAAGGAAATCCTAAATTCAATAACTTGATATTATACATTGTTGTGAACCTTGTGGAAGAGCAGAGTGTGCATAGCCACTCGGCCTTTCCCAGAGCTCAGGCCTGTGAAAAGCTTGCAAATGACCAGACACCGACTTTTTGACTCAGAACCAGGCAGGAAACCTTAGTTGCTTCTCTCCCCAGTAGGAAAGCAGGCTTTGCGTGGTCTTGAGGCAGGTACAGATGATGCTGATTTTATTTGGACTTTAATAGTGGTGCTAAATGGGTATGAATACAGCAGACAGAAAACTTTAGAACCAAGGATTTTGAGCCTTTCTGTGGCCCGAGGCACAAAAAAAAAAGGGGGGGGGGGGGACAGTTTTGAGGCAAATCAGATGGACAGAGGGACAAAGTGACAGAAGCTGGGGGGTCTCTGTCCTTTATCCTTTTTGTTCTGCTTGGTTTTATATATATTTTCTCCTCAGGGTGACCGAGTTACTCCTTTCCAATATATTTGTGTTTGATTCTCCTTACAGAACCCTGTGAACTACTCCACTCAGCAGTCGCCATGCAGCCTGGCCCTAGCCTAAAATTTGCGATGGGGTGTTCTAAACACCAGAGGAGTGAAATATCTAGGTGTCCAGCACTGGCCCTTTGGTCTTAGAGCTGACATGACCTGCCAGTCAGGAGCAGCATACCTGTGACACAACCTGGTCCTTGTGTGCGGTCCTAACTTGGATTGCTTCAGAGTGTAAAGGATTCAATCCTCCACTCTCCCTCCTTAACTCCCCTCTGTTCTTCCCATTCCTTGAAGATCATCTTTTCCAAAGCCCTGGCTTCCTGACCTCAGTGGTCTCAACAGTTTCTTTCTCCTTTCTCCTTATGGGGCCTGGGATCCTTTCGTCCTTTGCTCCATTTCCCTCCCCATTTCACATTCACAGACAACTCCCTACAAAAAACACTGATTCCCAAGCTTACTTTTTGCTGCATTAAGAATTCGTCTTGGGCTGGGTTGTGGCTCAGTGGTAGAGCGCTTGCCTAGCACTAGTGAGGCACTGGGTTTGATCCTCAGTACCACATTAAAAAAAAAAAGAACTAACAAAATAAAGTTATTAAAAAATTCTTCTCTTGCTATTAACCTCGGCACAGCCTCCATCTTTCCTTCCAAGGAGTCTCCTGTTGACTTAATAAGTGACTATGCTAGTGCTAAGATGGGGAGAATGGAGTCACTGGACAGCTTTCCTCAGTAGATACTTGTGTTTTAGTAAAGTTTGGGTAGTTTCTGGAGAGCAGTGCCCTGGTCAAAATGAATCATGGCTACATAGCTACAGTTCAGGAGTTGCAGGGAGGTAATTACTTTCCACATTCTTTACTTCAGATCGTACAGGTGGCACCAGGAGCCCATTTGTAGGATGCCCTATGTTGCCTTTCCTGTCGTGGAGAAGACCCTGCTGTAAATGCTAATCTCCTTGTTGTACAAGAACACTGTCTGGAGCATGTTGATATAACGTGTGTATGCCTTCTTCAAACAACAACTCAGAATATGAGGAATTTGAGATTCGGCTCACAGATTTCAACCAGGAACTAAAGGGGCTTCCACTTTCGGAGAAAGGCTCCAGATGTCAGATGGTTGAGAGACAGTGTCTAAGTCATAAACCAGCCCTCAGGGATTTTTTTGGTTCTCTAGGTATCATCTTAGTGATGCATCAAGTGATCAGAAATTCTAAACTGGTCCTTTGATCTCAGCCTGTACACTGAATAAAGATTTCATTTCATTTTCTCAATTTTTGTGAAATTATGAATTATCTGTTTGCAAAATCATGTTCATAACTTTCAAAACTTTATCTTGAAGTAGTAGTCTACTACAGACTCCATTTTCTTTTCTAAAAGGACTTGAGCCATAAATTTAGTCTCATATTAAATCCCACGAAGAGTTTCTATTTTCATACTAATATCTCTACTTCTTATTTTCTTGAATGAAATAGCTACAACTCAGTTTGTTTCATTTTTGCCTCATTGCTATGATACTTGTACTATGTGCTAGAGTATATACAGTGTGATGTAATGCTTGCACTCTTAGGGAGTGGGCAGCTGGAATTCTAACTAGGAAGCTCATACTCCAGAGGTAGCTACTTCTATGCTTTGTTACTTAGCACAATGCATTTCAGATAGGAATGTTTTAATTGGAGAAATTAGAACCTTGTTAACTAGCATGATGAATATTAGAAATGAGTTCTCCATGGTAAGATAATAATAACTCAAGGAACAAGGGTTGACTACTGACATGTTCGAGAAGGGCCTCACCCTCGCATGGATGCAGCACCTCTCTTCGTAGCAAATGATGCTAAAAGGTCCTGTGTACAGCCGTGAACCTGGATGCTTGTCCTAAATGTGATAGAACTCAGCTTCTTGCATTTTGGCAGCTGTCATAAATTGATATTTTTTGTTATGCAAGAAGGTGTTTGGAGGACCTGAAAGAATAGAGAGGTTGTAGCTTTTCAAGCTTAAAGATTGTTTTGAGTGTTTTTTTTTTTTTTTGACTTTGTTTTAGATTTGATCCAAGACTCAGTTTCCTTGTTACCTGGTAGGGAAATTGTAGGGTGGTGGCTGACAATGATACAACTCAAACTTCAATGCCTATTCTTACCTGCCAAAAGAAACCAAGAGCTGTGATTGATAGAGCAGGCGTGGCTTGGTTTGTAGCACTCAGTAGACCTGTGGAGATGGGTTTCTTGCATTGCAGTGGCAGAGCACTGGTGCCTAGGGTTACTATTCCTCTGCATGGCAAGAATGGTTTTCATTTCTCTGGTCTTATTTTAGTTGTTCTCTGATATTGTGCAACTCAAATCCTTTTTGAAAAGAGGTGGAGAGATCTAAATGAATAATGAAAATGTTTGAGCATTCCTATTGGTTTCTTTGGGCTGGGGGTGCCCATGGCTTTTCTCTTTACTCTTGGCTTATCTTGAAGTGTCACATCAACATGTGCTAATGAGACCCAAACACATCACTAGAGAGGCTCATAGGAGGGAAGGGAAGCTCAGGGGGTGGTGCAGGAGGCTGTTTCTAACTAGTCACGCCTTAATACCACTTTTCAAGGCTGCGTCTAAGCTCCTCACACCCAAGTAGAGGTTCTTCCCCTTTGACACCACCAAGAAGAGATGGAGCCAAGCAAGGGCACTTTAACCACCAGGTATGATGGATAAGACCATGGGGGCCAGCAGCCTGGGGAGAAGCAGCAGGTTCCGAATTCAAACCTAGTAGCTCATCCACACATTGAACACTTGTGTGATTTCTGGAACACTGAAGGAAAATGAATGCCGAGAATTGATGGACACACCACAGGGCTCCACACGTGGCTGCCTCCTCTCCAGGTTTCTCACTCCAGTCCAGTAGCAAAAGAGTCAGAGAGTGACTCAGAGAGTTAGTAGGAACTGGTCTTGCTCCGGAGGTTTCCTCACCCAGGTGCCCAGACCGGCTTTCTGAAAAGCCTTAAATAGCTGTTGTTTAACAGACTGGTAGGTGTGAGCCCCCAGCTTGGCCTCACAGTACATGGATGGCGTGTCTCCATGGCTTGGTGTCCATGTGCTCAGCTGCGGACAGAAGGAGAAAAAGGAAATTAACCACCAGTACAAATAAGAGCCTCTACCAGAGGAGTTTTTAAGCCCAACATAATCTCTTGGGCTCAGTGTTTTCTTTTTCTTTCTCTCTTCCTTTAAAACAAAAACCCAAAATATTATAAAAAGCATCTGTGGTGCTAGTGACCCATTTCTATCAGGCAATTCTTTGGAAAACTCAGGTATGAAGAAAACTTCATCAGAAGTGTGAATGATTTAAAAGACATGTAACTTATAATTTGACTGTTATAAAAAATCTAGACTCTGGGATTAGAGATGTGGCTTAATGGTAGACTGCTTGCCTGGAAAGAATGAGGCCCTGGGTTCAATTCCCAGCACAAGAAAAAAAAAAAAAATCTCAACACTGTTTTTTCTTTCCGGAGGAGGATTAGGGGCTCAAAATGGGGCAGTGGCCATGAATGACTGTGGGCATGAACGTAACATCATGGCAGGCAGGAAAGAGGAAGGGCTTTGAGTTATTTTTCTATTTGACCAAAGGACAAAGAAAATATGATGGGTTCCCCATCAGCCTTTTGAATTATAACAGGCAAAGCTTCGGAGTCAGCATAAGGCAGGAGTCAAATATAGCTTCAATTCCCCCATCGAGGGGAAGATGGGAGGGCAGGCAGGTGATGGGGAGCCCCAAATCACACTGCAGCATCTTCTGGGGGAGAGTTTGTAGATCAGCATGCCCATCCGCTGGCCAATGTCTTTTTGAGCATGTGGAAAAGTAGAGGCCCTATTTGTTTAGCAAGATAAAATCAGTGCTTCTCTGACCTTCCAAAGTCTATAGAAGTGAGACATGGGAAAGTGGGGGCTGAGACCCTGGGTCAGAGCTGTAGGATGTCTGGCCACAGACCCATGTCCACGTACAATGGCTGTGGCAGAGGCAGAAGCCACTGCCAAGCTCGGAGCTAAGTATGCAAATTTCAGTGCCCTCTAAATTGACACACACACACATAAAAAAAAAAGAAAAAAAGACCCCCCCCAATCCCTCAAAATAAAAAACAAAACAAAACAAACAAATAACAATAAGTCTCTGTGCATCTCTGCTGTTCTTTTACTGGTTGCTACATCGGCTGCAACACTGTTTAACACCATTACTTCTATTTGGATTCATTGCCTGAGTACAAAGTATAAAAAATCAAGCCAAACAATTTTTTATTTATTTATTTTTTGGGGGGGTTATTCTTTCTGTCTTTATTTCTTCCTTTCTTTATTTTTTCCTCCCTTTGGTTACAATCTACTATGCTTTGGAAGCACATGAAAACACACATCTCAATTAAAACCCCAGAAATACAGTTATTTCCTTATTTCTGGAGGAGGAAGCAGATTCTGAAATGGGTAGGCTTCAGGGCTGGGGAGAAATCCTGACCCTGAAATTCACTGCCTGTGAAATTTTGAGGAAAATTATTCCACTTCGTAGCTTCCTTATATCTGAATATATTAGGAATAACACTGAGGACAGTATTGACTTCAAAAAGCTTCCATGTGATTTTCTTATGACACCCTGGGTTCAGCGGGGGCAGGGCCTGGCCACACTGTGTTCTGCAGTAAGCTTTCCTGTGTGACCCCCAAGCTCCCACGCTGCTAGTCTGGGGACCACACTTGGGTGGTGGAGTGTCAAGTCTATGGGGGACACTTTGCGTGGCCTGGGCAGTGGAGAGGAGGAAACACTACGGGAGCTGGTTTTTGCGTCCTATGTCACCCTCACCACAGACCAAATGATGGTCCCTGGCCACGAGCCTGAGTCCTGTTGCAGCTAGCTTTACCCCAGAAAGGACAGGTGTGACCTACCCTACCATACAGCCGTGCCCAGCGGGCAGAGAACACGTGCTTGCAGAGCCTGGAGGAGCCCCCGCAGCTCCTCCTGCCGGTGGTGGCATTAATAATCTCCAGGTCTGCGTTGCCCACGACCCAGTTCACACTGAAGTGGGGCGACTTCCCTGGCTGCCGGGCCTCTGCATTACTCACTCCTGTCAAGAGGGAGACAGAAAGCAGGCAAGCATTAACATCCCTGGCCCCGCACTGGCCTCCCGCGAGAGCGCATCCTGGGCGGTGACACTCGCGCTTGAGCTAGTGCAGAGTCACACATGTCATTCCGCTTTCCATCTTCAAAACGAGGGCAGTTCATGTTGAGGTGATGGTACTTGTACAACTGGAGGGTGGAAATCAAGCACGGCCCTGAGGACAGTCTCATGCTCAAAAGTCACTGCTGGCCCCTGTTTTTAACCTTTCAATTTAAAGGATTTTTATGCGCAGTTTAGTAATAATAAAACTCAGCCCAGGTTTTTTTCCCCTTCTCTAAATGTTTGTTGAGTGAATTAATGAACAAACAGAACTGCGTATAAACAAGTTAAGAAAGTGTGTTTATTTGACACCCACTGCATGCCCAGCCCTCTTCAAGGTAAAACACTGAGGTGGTAAACAATACCAGGCAGATCCTTAGGCTTATAGTTTAATTAATGAGAAAAAAAAGCACTAATATAAATAAGAGAGATATAAGAGTATGGGATAAGTAATCAAACAATGTGATCTAGAAATAGCACTAGCTACAAAATTTGCAAGCCTCACTGCAAAAATAAACATGAAAGTCCCCTTGTCTGAAAGTTATCAAGAGTTTTAAGACCACAGCAGAATATGAATCCAAAAGTAGGTTCTACTAAGCTCAGGTTCCCGGGGTGAGTCATGCGTCCATGAAACTGGTGCTGCCCCAAAGCATCCAGATTTTCCAGGGAAGTCCTTGTTTTTAGATGAATTTCCCCTTGTCAGACTGTGCACTGTGACTTTGAATCAGAGTGCACCAACCTGGTGGTCGCAGCCTCCTACAGCAGAGTGGAGGGAGAAAGCAGAGCCCTCCCACTTTGCAGTCTGGGGCCAGCCACACTTCTCAGCTCCTAACCTCAGCCCAGTGTCAACTTCTGCCCAGCCACCTTGCAGTGCTCCCCTGCTGATCAGGACTTCCTGGAGATGCTGGGCGAGGTGTCTGGTGAGCATGTGCCTGGCTCTCCTCGTCCAGGGACACCATCCTGAGGATCCCAACCCGTCTAATATTGTGGTGCTGCTTTGCCTTCCCATATGTTGTCTTTCTTCTTCCCTCCTGAAGGTTATGTTTGCCAACCTGTGACCTTGGGGAGGTCCCCATGCTGCAGTAGTTTGGAGGCGAGGTGCCCCAGATGACCATGGCCAGATGGTTTCCATGTGCTGGACTTCCTTGTGGCAACCCTATGCGTAATAGATTTGACCCTCATCATTTCTAGAGGCTGTGCCATATGGTCCAGTCTCTGCTGAGTCTCATGGTCCAACCATAAAAATAAGTAGGGAAGGAATTTAGTCTCTGTTCACTCCAAGAAAATTCTGGGATGTTTGGTTTGTAACACAGAAACCCTGGTCATGTGACCCTTATCAGTGCCTCTTGAATCTCTCACCATACCCAGGGCCCCTGCAGCGTCTCCATGATACTTTCCCCAAACTCAGCCCAACTGAACCTCTCGGCCCTCTTGTCCAGTTTCACCTTATGAAGGTCAGTCCTGACGCTCCAGCCCTGCCCGTGTCTCCATGTGCCTTGGGTCCTACTTTCCAGCAGGACACATGAGGTAAAGGGATGCAGCAGAGCCTCTCAGGTGCAGGGCCTGCATCTTGGAGAGATGGGAGCCTGCAGAGAAGCATGGGAGTTTTTGGCAGGTACACTGTGTTTAGGCCACTGGGATGGCTGCTCAGAAGTCCCAGCCATGTGTCACTGATGTTGGTGGAGAAGCCCAGGTGTTGGGAAAGCAGTCCAGGCGCCAAGCACTGGCTGGCTGAGCACAGTCAAGTCCTGCAGTAGACTCCCCGTGCTGGAACTGTCCCCGTGCTGAGTGGAAGCTCAGCACACAGTGCCTTTGTGGACACAGACTTCATTTAAATTCTGGGGGAGAGCCCATCAACTCGGAGCTGCAAAGCCACAGACCCCAGGATCCTTCTGCATCCCCAGCTTCACCCCGGGTCCAGGGGCTTCTTGGATAGATAGAATGGAGGCCCACTCTCTGAGTACACTGACATCTGAGTTTTCTGTCTGCCACTTACACAGCCTGGACTTCACACTGAAAGTCACCCTATGACCTTCCTCTGGTCATGCATGGCCAGTGTTAGGTGTTTAGGCTAATTCTATTTGTGTCAGCTTTTTCCTAGAAGTGATTCTTTGTGGCAGCTGCCCACCCCTGAGAGCTGGGCAGAGGGGACAATCTGGCCCATTGGCAGCCATGGGCTGTCCTACTGGGCAGGGACCACCTTGGCAGGAGGAGGCAGCTGCTGAGGTCAGGGATGACTGGGTACCAAGAGAGACGGTCATTGCCCCAGATTTATGCAGCCAGGCTCAGCAGCATGGCCGCCTCCTTGTCCTCCTCCTCCCCTCCCCTCCCCTCCCCTCCCCTCCTATCCCTCTAGTCTCTACAATGGTCAGGGCTGACCACTGAGGCTCAGAGCTCGGTTTTCTCCAAGGTGCTAAACTCTGCCCTGAGGAAACCCTGGAGTGCCTGATGTCAATATGGGACATGCCCGGCTCCTGGCAGGGCGCGTCGCCTCCTGCCCTCTTCTCTGTGCTGTCAAAGTGTTGCTGGCTCTCAGCGCACAGACACCTGCCTTGGAGAGGGCCCAGCTGCAGCCTCACTGGGCTCTGCTCCCAACATCCTTGGCTGCCAGCCTCACAGGGGCCCAGATAGCACTGGGAAGGCAGCCACGAGGGTGCTCATGTCAACTTTGCATGCGCTCTGCTCCACATGGGGGGGACAAAGGGGAAGAAAGGAAGGAACACAGGCCGTGCTGCGAGGGAAAGTGTGGCTGATGGGCCCCTGGGATTCCACTTGCAGACAAGGCTTGTGCCTCAGGAATCTGGAGACTTGAGTCCAGGCCCATCTTCTCTCTGGGACCCTGGTACACGCTGTTCTTTTTCCTTCCTTTGCTTTCTGACAGGGTAACTTTGTTTCACAAGGTGATGTGAAGATCAAACAGGTCAGATAAGAGCACTTTTAAGGCATTAAGTGTTATGGGTATTGTTATTTCCATCCGGAGGAAGATTTAAAGGTCAACTCTAGTTTGTTTAGTGCTTTCAAAGTCACACAGATCAAAAAATGTTCCCAGTTAGTTACTCCATTCCCTGGAACAATTAGGTAATAACCCCATTCACTTAGATACACCTAATTATTTTGGGGAATGGAGAACTCATTGACCAAAGGCCAGGATGTCTTTTCTGTTAAACATTTTTGTTTTCATATATGTTTGTTCAACATATGGCCTTACTACCTCTGTAGGAGACCTAATTGTCTACTTATACTTTGAGCCTCTAGTTTAAGGATTATCTCCCTTCTGTCCTTTGTTTGCAACAACAACAACAACAACAAAAAAGACTTTCCAAAGCAACCTGGAAGAATGACAATCTCGCCATCCGCCTTTAAAAATAAATCCACCATAAAGATAAAGCACTTGGAATGTTTACTAAATATTCATGCCAGCAGTACAATTTTTGACATCACTGTAATTAACGATGGCTGCCGATTATACCCAAGGAGATGAAGCCACTATGCCAGACTCACTTGAATCTAATATGTAAATTTACCAACGTACAAGGGAACATACAGTTACCTCACAGAACATTCATGTCAGTCTGATGTTATGTTCTCTTTCTGCAGGCAAACCCTGCACAGATACAAATCTCCTGGTCACTGTGATGGAGCCAGGGACAGTAGTTGTATTGCCCAAACATTGACCACCACCAGGCTACTTCTTTACTCCAGAGGGATGAGTCCTCCTGGAAACAGGTGTGAAAGCTCTGGGGTGGCTACCTTTTCCTACCTGTCATGAATGCCTTGTGCCAACCTGTGCTACTTTGATTTTTTTCCCCACTTTCCTGTTTCAGGATGATTCTCTCCTTTTTTTCCCCTTGATCTTGTATCACATCAACATATATAATTCCTCAGCTGAGCTGATCTTCTGGATATATATTAACAGGATTCATAGGTGGCCCCTATTTTACTTGTTTGTTTCCTCCTGGAGGACATTCTTGGTTTCAAAGGAAACTTTTTCACATATAGGAATGACCTCACTATTTCTATATTGATTTTATCATTTTACGTCGACTCCCTGGGTGCTGTTTCGTAATTCCTGCCTGTCAACATGTACACACAGGATCCTCCATGGAGTGTTTTCAAGAGCTCATTTGTCCGTTTTCTCACATTGTATTTATTGAGCCTTTTTAGGCCAAGGAGTATCGGGATTTTGAAACTTAGCGCCCAGACTGTCTAACTCAGTGTTGAATCGTGATATTTTAGATGGTACTGGACATGTTTGCTCAAATCTAGAAATGAAAGTCTGGTTTGTATTTATGTGTTTAATCGTTGTTTTTTTTTTCCTTTCTCTCTATGGTTAGGCACTTTGAAAAGGAAAGAAGAGTGTAAATTCCTGGCCTATACTTCCTGAAGTAGACATCAGACATGAAATGATTGAAGACTAAACTGGAGTCCCTAGGACACCGTAAATGACAGTCCCAGGTGTACCTAAGACCTGCTCCACATGTTCCTCAAGACAACACATTAGCACAAACCTGGAAATCTAATGCGCTCAGAAAGTATAACAGCACCTCCTGTCCCCATTCACAGCACGAAGGTTCTTCAGCCGTCTCCCTCCAGTGAAAGACAGCAATGGGTCAGAGTGTGACAGCTGACCTGGTGCACCCGAGTCCTGGTTTAGATTTTAGGGGAACGCTTTTGTGGCCTGAGCCCAGAAAACCTGAGCACTGTGCCAAAAAGAAAAGAGTGTCCTCATCGTGAACCCATGACAGACCAACACTCAGACACCGCCATGTGATAAATGGTGTTGGCTTAAGTCTGTGGACTTCATTACACACCCATGCTGGGGCATCCTGTTCCTCTCTGCAGATCGCCCTAAATAAGGTTCTGGGCACTTGTTCCCTGACATCCAGAAAGTAAACCAAATCAAAATA